TTTTTCTTAAAAAAAGAATTCAGCAACTTTTTTGTGAAGAAAATGTAAAACTGTTATGTTTTTCATTATAAGAATGGGAATTCAGCTAAGCTTTTACGCACAAAAATTCAATTCAGCAAGGATTTTCTATAGGAAAACTTAATTTAACCATGTTTACATTAAAAACAATGGAATTCAGCATGCGATTTTTTATAAAACAAAGGCTATATTTAAAGCGAATTCAGCAAAATTGTTTTTCTTGAAAACATGAATTCACCAACCCTTTTCTTAAGAAAATGTACAAACTGTTATGTTTTTCTTTATAAGAATGTGAATTCAGCTAAGTTTTTCCTCACAAGAAGTCAAATCAGAATGGGAATTCAGCTAAGCTTTTACGCACAAAAATTCAATTCAGCAAGGATTTTCTATAGGAAAACTTAATTTAACCATGTTTACATTAAAAACAATGGAATTCAGCATGCGATTTCTTTTCTTGCAAAGTTTTCTTATCTTAATGTTTTTATAAAACAAAGGCTATATTTAAAGCGAATTCAGCAAAATTGTTTTTCTTGAAAACATGAATTCACCAACCCTTTTCTTAAGAAAATGTACAAACTGTTATGTTTTTCTTTATAAGAATGTGAATTCAGCTAAGTTTTTCCTCACAAGAAGTCAAATCAGCAAAGATTTTCTAAATTCGGCCAAGTTTTTTTTCTTAAAAAAATGAATTCAGCAAAGTTTTTTTAAGAAAATGTATAAACTGTGAAGTTTTTATTCACAAAAAGTGTAATTCAGCTAAATTTTTCGGCATAAAAAGTGAATTCAGCCAAGATTTTCTACAGGAAATCCTAATTCAGCCGTGTTTACATTACAAAAATTGAATTGAGGATCGGTTTTCTGTACAAAAAGTGAATTCAGCAAAGTTTTCTTCTCTTAAATAAATATTTTTTTTTATAAAAAATGATTTTTTTAATAAAAGTTGTTTTTCTTTACAAGTAAAATTTATTCAGCAACCATTTTTTGTTAATGGTTTATATATGAAATATTGTATTCAGCCAAAATTGTCTATTACAAAAATGAATTCAGCTAACTTTTGTGGTTGTTGTAGTCTTGTCTACAATTCAAAAAAATATATATTTTTTTAATTTTCAAGTTTTGTAATTTTTTTATTTATTCATTATTTTGAAAGTAGTCATTTCAACTCGATTTTGTAGGTCACCGCCACCACATGGTTTCTGAGATTTAACAAAAAAAAAATAATAAAAAACAAATTTTGTTTTTTGTTATTGTTTTTGATTACTCATTACATCAAGTGGTGGCTAGCTGGCTGGCTGTTATGGTTTGGCATTGTTCTACAAAATAATTATTTTTTATATATTTTTTTTTGAATTTCATTTTCTTTTCATTTGTTTTGAGATTATAGTTTTGTTTTCTTTTTTGGTTTTGTGGTCTAGTATAGTTATGCTTCTTCTTCTCCTCATTTTTTTTCTTATATTTATTGTAAGTCTTGAAAAAGTAGGTTTTGAGATTTTCAAGTCACAGCTGGGAATTATTTCAATGTAATTCTAATAAAGTGAGTTTAAGTGAGTAGTCTGACCTTATCGTTTAATTTGTGGAAAAAAAAAAATTTAAAAATAACAAAAGCAAAACATAAACAATTGTGACGTTTTTGTAGTAGTAAAAGTGACGTTTCAAGAAGGGATGCCATTTCAGGGGTCAGTCATTACATTCGAAATGATAAGGAGATGGGAAAGTAAACGGAAGTAAATTTTATTTTTTAATAACAAAAAAAAGGGAATTTCCTTAGAGGGAACTTGGTTTAAATAAAATAAAACAATATTTTCTTTAGAAAAAATTGAATGAAAAAAAAAAATGAAAATGAATGAAAAAAAAATCAATCATTTTTAAAATTTTTTTTTTTTAATAAAAATGTTATTCAACTATGATTTTTCAAATAATATTTCGTATATTTTTGCAATATATTTTTTATTTTATCTATAACAAATATTTATTATATTTTTTTTAGGAATTTTATTTTTTGTAAATTCTATGACGAGCTAAGCATGCCCGTCTGTCCGCCTGTCTGTTGCAATAACTCTAGCGTCTAAACGAATTGAGATAGAACGCTAAAATTTTGCATAGAGTCGTCTTTTGTCTGCAGGCAGGTCAAGTTCGAAGATGGGCTATATCGGTCCACGCATAGCTCCCATATAAGGGTACTCCCCAATTTTCGATATTTTGGGGTTCTTGAGCGCGTTTTTCAACCGAATTTGCTGAAATGTTGTACATTGGGTCCTAATTGGGTACCAAATTTCCCCACCAAAAATTAGAAATATAGGTCCACTTTTTCTGGTAGCACCCATATAAAGGTACCCACCAATTTTTAGTTTTTTGGGTGTTTTACCGAATTGGCTGTAATTTAGTAATTTGAGTTCTTATTGGGTAGCAAATCTCTCCACAAAAAATTATAAATATAGGTCAATTTTTTCGGGTAGCCCCCATATAAGGGTACCCCCAAATTTTCGGTATTTTGGGGTTCTGGAGCGCGTTTTACAATCCAATTCGCTGAAATTTGGTACATTGTATTCTTATTGAAAACTGAATGTCTACACAAAAAATTATAAATATAGGTCCACTTTTTCTGGTAGCCCCCATATAAGGGTACCTACCAATTTTCAGTTTTTGGGGGGTTTTGACCGGATTTTTCCACCGAATTGGCTGTAATTTAGTAATTTGAGTTCTTATTGGGTAGCAAATCTCTCCACAAAAAAAAATATAAATATGGGTAAATTTTTTCGGGTAGCCCCCATATAAGGGCAGCACCCAATTTTCGGTATTTTGGGGTTCTTGAGCGCGTTTTACAAGCGAATTCGCTGAAATTTGGTACATTGGGTTCTTATTGGGTAACAAATGTCCCCACTAAAAATTATAAATATAGGTCCACTTTTTCTGGTAGCCCCCATATAAGGGAACCTACCAATTTTCAGTTTTTGGGGGTTTTGATCGGATTTTTTCACCGAATTGGCTGTAATTTAGTAAATTGAGTTCTTATTGGATAGTAAATCTCTCCACAAAAATTTATAAATATAGCTTAATTTTTTCGGTTAGCCCCCATATAAGGGTACCACCCAATTTTCGATATTTTAGGGTTCTTGAGCACGGTTTTCAACCGAATTCGCTGAAATTTGGTACATTGGGTTCTTATTGAAAACTAAGTGTCTCCACAAAAAATTATAAATATAGGTCCACTTTTTCTGGTAGGCCCCATATAAGGTTAACTCCAAATTTTCAGTTTTTTTTGGGTTTTGATCGAATTTTTCTGTCGAATTGGCTGTAATTTTGTATTTTAAGTTCTTAATAGTTACCAAATAGGTCCACAAAATATTATGAATATAAGTCCATTTTTTTCGGGTAGCCCCCATATAAGGGTACCACCCCCCACCCAATTTACGCTAATTTGGGGTTCTTGAGTACGTTTTTTTACCGAATTCGCTGCAATTTGGTATTTTTGTATATGGTAACAAATATCGCTACCAAAAATTATTAATATTCGCCCCCTTTTTGTGGTAGTCCCCCCATATAAACCCCTTTTTTATATTAAAATAATTATCTGATTTTTTCGCGTTTTCGATTTGGTTCTAAGAGTCTGTTGAAATCATTTCAACTGCGAAAGATATCGGGATAAAAAACTAGAACGTACGATTCGATAAAGAACTATATATGAACTATAGCCCGCATTTAAGCATAGCCGTATCCCCTGTATGGGAGGTACCAGAAGGCGTGTACCGATATTCCCCAAATTCGGACTACTAAGTTTGGAAATGATAAAATGGGATAAAATCAAAATTTTCTGAAACGAATGTGGTCCAAAGAAACATGGGGTTCTAAGACTCTGTTATAATGGGGTCCAAAGAAACATGGGGTTCGAGATAAAAAAAACTAGAACGTAAGGTTCGATAATGAACTATATATGAAATATAGCCCGCATTTAGGTATAGTCGTAGCCCCTGTGTGGGAGGTACCAGAAGGCGTGGACCGATATTACCCAAATTCGGACTTGAAGTACGTTTGGAAGAAATAATAAGATGGAATAAAATAAAAATTTTCTGAAACGGATATGATCCAAAGAAGCCTGGGGTCTAGAACCAATATTTCGATGAGGCACATTTTCACCGTGTTAGCACCAAGGCTGAGGGTATAATATTCTATTAAAAATTTATGTCGGTATAGGTCCATTTTTGGTATGTTCCCTATATTTTCATTTCAAGTACCTGTTAGTATTAGGGATACGTAGTCTAGTGCAAAAGTCGATTTTAAGACTTTTCGATTTTTGCCTTCGACTAAAAAGTCGACTTTTCGATCTTTCGATTTTGTCAAACCTGTTCAAAATCGATTATCGATTGTACCTACTAAAGCAAAATCGACTAAAAATTTAATTATTTATGAAAATTGTTGTCAAAAGATGAAATAAAGTTCTGGAATGTAAACTTTTTGGACAATTTCGGCTTTGTGATAATAAAAGTCGACTTTGTGATTTTCTCAAAGATCAAAAGTGGGTTTCGACTTTTAGACTTTTCAATACAAAAAGTCGATTAATCGATTAGTCGAAAGTCGATTTACTTATCCCTAGTCAATATATCTATGGTGGAGGGTTACCAAAGTTCGGCCCGGCCGAACTTAACGCTTTTTCACTTTTTTTAAATTATATTTTGTATAATTATATTTATTATTTTTAATCTATTTATTTTATATATATTATAATTATTATTTTTTAAATTATATATATATATATATATATATATATATATTTTATTTTTTTAAATTATTTGTCACATTTTTTTTAATTTCCTTCATAATTTCTCTTTTCAGCTAAGAAAAAAACAACAACAAAAACTCAACTTCTAAGAAGTTGTTATCTATAGAAATTTAAGGATTCGGCAAAAAAACCTGAAAAAGGATTGTGATTTAATTATACAACAAAGTTAAAACCACCACAAAAAAACCGACAACAACAGAAAACCAAACAAGATGGCAGTGTTTGGTATGGTCTCAGCCGTTTCAGGCTTTGTAAAAATTCGATATCTATTGGATAAGGCGGTCATCGATAATATGGTGTTTCGTTGCCATTATCGGATAACAACGGCCATATTATTTGTGTGCTGTATTATTGTGACGGCCAATAATTTGATCGGTAAGTAGACGAGACACAAAAAAAAAAATAATAATAATAACAACAAAAAATAATAACAACAATAATAACAAAAGAAAAACAATTCAAATAGACTAAACATAATATGCATAATAGGTACATACATATGTTAATTGATTAACAATGGAAAAACAATCAATAAAAAAATAACAACAAACAAATGATATGGATGAGCTAATTAATTTTTTTATTATTATGTATTTTTTTTCTTCGAAAAATTTTTATTTTTTCTTTGCTTTTTTCAATTGTGTTTTTTACATTATAATAATGAGTTTGCATTTATGGAACTGGGCAGAGAGTGAGGTGTGTGTGTGTGTTTTTTTTTTGTATCGATGCCTGGTTAGCTTACGCCATAAATACTACAAATGTTGCATGTCGCCATTTAACACTTTGGAAAAAAGCTGTTAACATTGTTTATAATAACAGCAATAACAACATCAATGGGCTTGACCACACCGCATTTAAACTTTCAAACATGGCAAATAGTAATGTGAAAAACATGTCGTCAACTAATTAGAATACAAGTGTAAATATGAGTATGTTTGTGTATTTTTGTCGATGTGGAAAATATGGAGATTGCATGGAAAACAAATATTGTTAGACAATTTTAATTAGCAGCAGGTCAGGATGTCTAGATGATGATAGACGATGGTGTAATAATAGGGCAATTGTTGCAACACCATCGAGCCAAATGAAAGGTGCATACTTTAGGAAGTAATAACAAATATTAAAATAACTTTATGATGAAAAAAAATTACATATAAAGAAAAAAAAGAAGAAAAACTTTACCTGATAAAAAATATTAAATTTTTAAATGAAAAAATCGCATTATAAAAAATACTTCTCTATAATAAATAATTTTTTATGAATAAAAAAAAATTAGGGAAGAAAAAATAATCATTTTTTTTTTTAAATAGTTCAGCTGGGGTTTTTATGAAAACTATTTTAAAAAAGAGCTATTTTTTATAAATAAAAAAATAAATCGGCTATTTTTTGGATTGGATTTGTAAAGATTTTTTTCGGGGATCTTCTGAGCTATAGGCTTGGGTTTTAAAGAATTTTTCCGAGAATCTTCATAGCTATAGGCAAGATTTTTTTGGGGTCCGTCAGTCTTAAAGGCGTGCATTTTTTTTTTTTTTTTTTTTTTTGAGAAACATCAGAGCTTTATCTGTGGCTTTAAAAAATCGAGGACTATAGGAATGTGTTTTTAAATTGTTTTGAGGACCATCAGGCTTAAAGGCGCGGATTTTGATTTTTTTTGTTAGGACCATCAGACTTTGAGGCGTGGGTTTTTAAAGTTTTTTTTTCAAATACCTTCTGAGCTTTAGGCGTAGATTTAAAAAAAATCGAGGACCTTGTGAGCTAAAGGCGTAGATTTTTAAGGATTTTTTTTTTTTTTGTGGACCATCAGACTTAGTGGCGAGGATTTTCAAAGATTTTTTTCGAGGACCTTCTAAGCTATAGGCGTGGATTTTTAAAGATTTTTTTCGAGGACCTTCTGAGCTATAGGCATGGCTTTTTATTTTTTTATACCCTTCACCACACTGCGGTGCAGGGTATTATGTCTTTGTGCATATGTTTGTAACAGGCAAAAGGAAACGAGGTGGATACATGGTTCCTTTTGAGAATATGCATATAATCACTTTCTGAGTCGATTAACGCATGTCCGTCTGACTGTCCGTCCATGTATTATTGTGTACAAAGTACAGGTCGCATTTATGATCCGATTTGTATGAAATTCACTTCACTTATTTGGCTCAAGGACGAGCCCTATTGAAATTGGGAAAAATCGCTTCAGATTTAGATATAGCTCCCATATATATTTTCGTCCCATTTAATGTAAATGGTGAACAAAAGTCCCTATATATATTTTGATTTGCACGAAATTTGGCACGGAGTAATGAATTAGGCCTAGAATGATGTGTGTTAAATTTCGTGAAAATCGGTTCAGATTTAGATATAGCTCCCATATATATTTTCGTCCGATTTAATGTAAATGGTGCACCAAAGTTCCTATATATTTTTTGATTTGCACGAAATTTGGCACAGCGTAATGAATTAGGCCTAGAATGTTGTGTGTTAAGTTTCCTGAAATCGGTTCAGATTTAGATATAGCTCCCATATATATTTTCGTCCGATTTAAGATAAATGGTCCATCAAAATCCCTATATATGATTCGATTTGCACGAAATTTGGCACAGCGTAATGAACTGGTCTAGAATGGTGTGTGTTAAGTTTCCTGAAATCGGTTCAGATTTAGATATAGCTTCTATATCTGACCAAATAAAAGATTTTGCATCGATCGCAGAATGACATGTTTATGGATCCAATTTCATTTTACTGGTCCTTTAAAAATACGACGTCTGTTAGGATTCATCTATTGAATATACCTAAGGTGGTGAAGGGTATCATATAAAACTTTGCCGCAAAAAAATTGTATCCTGTTTTGAGTTGAAAAATACATTTTCTTAATGAAAAATGTCAACGAATTATTGTTTGCCAAATTTCCTCGGCATAACTCCTCGTTAATGATTCATCATTTGCCCATAAACCAATTTCATGTTCTCGTTGAGGCTTTGTATTACTGTAGTAATTCAACACCACCGATGGAAACTGATGATGGCGTTGACTTTGATGAGTCTACTGCACACCTCTACTTTCGAAATTCCATTAACATGTATAAATGTATGTAGAACGAACACATTTTGATTTGATCGCTGTGGCTAAAAAGTCAATGGCTTCTAAACCATTTCTCATACATTTAATGGTCACGATGACACTTTTCCGCATTCGTCTTACAGTCCATCTATACATGTCTACCCATTTACATTGTATGATGAAATACATACAGACATACATACCACAAACATACATTTGAATATCGCTTCTTCTCATGATTTGATCAAAAGATTTTTTTTTTTTTGAATGTGGTTTTGTTTGTTTATTTTTTCATTTATTTGACTTACGGTCGTCTGGCTAAATGGAATGAATGAATGGATAGATGGTCAGTCGATCGGTCGGTTGAACGGAATCGGGACTGGACTAGCTAAACAATTTAATGACGACTATTCCAAACAACAAATGCCCCAGCAAAGTGATTTTTACTTTTCATGGAATCGCATAATGAATCATTTCAAACTGGGGGAAAATACACTGGTGAGTAAATGCTCACACAATGTTGTTGTTGTTGCTGTTGTATTTATCCTACAGAGGACTGAATGCCGCTTCTGGCCAAAATGATGATAACAATGACGCTTTGCGGCGGCGGGTACGAATGTAGACACAAACAAACCGGCAAAAATCTGTTACGTGTGAAATTGTAGTGTGGATATTTTGTTGTTGTTGTTGCTGCGTTTTTTAATTTTTTCTTAACTCATAAAAAGGCCAATAAATAAATCTGAGAAACCAGTTGGAGGATATTTAAGTGAGAGCACAGATACATCATAAGCATTGGTAATTTATTGCTGACAATTATTGTGATTTTATGAAAACATTTTTGTCAAACAATTTTTGAGACGTCATTTTTTTATTGTAAATTATTTTGTAATAAATTTTAAGAAAATCAGCTGAATTGAATCGCTGAATTGTTATATACTATAGGAAACGTCTATTCAGCTGTATTTTTCTATAAAAATAATAAATCGGCTACATTTTCAATAGATAACGCGAATTCAGCAAAGTTTTTCAGCTGAAAATCTTAATTCAGCTAAGTTTTTGTATAGAAAACTCAATTCAGCACAAGTTTTCTTATTAAAATCTCAATTTTTTTAATGATAACTCAATTCAGCTAATTTTTTCTTGATTGAAAGTCAATTCAGCAAATATTTACTTTGGAAAATCCCTATTCAGCTAACGTTTTCTGTGGAAAACATTTATTTAGTATCGTCATAATATTACTATAAAAATACATTTCAGCAAAGTTTATTAATAGAAAATATAAATTCAGCAAACTTTTTCAAAGAAAAACTCAATTCAGTTAACATTTTCTTAATAAAAACGCAATTCAGCAAATGTTTACAGTATATAACACGTATTCAGCTAACGTTTTCTGTAGAAAACATAATTTTGGTAAGGTATTTTCAAAAGAAGCCATTAAAAATGCAATTCAGCAATGTTTATAAATCGCGAATATGAATTCAGCAAACTTTTTTTTAAAGAAAAATTCAATTCAGCAAACTTTTATGATAGAAAAACTAAATTCAGCTAACTTTTTTTAATAAAAAGGTTTACTTTTATTTTTCTTAATAAAACCCCAACTCAGCAAAGGTTTACCATTATTCAGCTAACATCATCTTTAAGAAAATTAATTTAGATAAGACATTTTCAATCGAATCCATTGAAAAATACAATTCAGTTAAATTCCATTAATGGAAAATATGAATTTTTCCAAAGAAAAATACAATTCAGGTAACTTTTTCTTAAGAAAATACCAATTGAGCTATGTCTACCATTACGAAAAGTAGATCAAAATCAATATAATAAAGGGATTTTAAATACAAAACCTTAAAAAATACAATTCAACTAAGTTTATCAATCGAAATTATGAATTCGATCAAATGTAAGAATTCAGCAAACTTTTTTCAAAGAAAAACTCAATTCAGCTAAGTTTTTCTTAAGAAAATACTAATTCAGCTAGCTTTTTTCCTAAAGAAAATACGAATACATGTAATTTTTTTAATAGAGAACCCCAAAAAAATCAATTCAGCTAACTTTTTCTGAAGAAAATACAATTCAGTAAGTTTATCAATCGAAAATATGAATCCAGCAAATGTTTTCCATAGAAAAAACTCAATTCAGCTAACTTTTCCATAAGGAAATACAATTCAGCTAAGTTTATCAATCGAAAATATGAATTCAGCAAATGTTTTCCATAGAAAAAAAACTCAATTCAGCTAAGTTTTTCTTAAAAAAATACCAATTCAGCTAGCTTTTTCTAAAGAAAACATCAATACAAGTCATTTTTTTAATAGAAAAAATCCTAA